GTTGTCTGCCCCAGCAACCTCGATTGCTGGGAAGATCATAGCTAGTAATGGGCCTGGCCCATGCCTTGAATACCAAAGCCCCTGCTGTCCTGACCAAGAGCCAGACTTTGACCTGCTCTCTCGAACCCCTGGAGACTTAGGGAGAGGCAGGCCTGGACTGCTCAGGCTAGGCTCATCTGTACTCATAGCCGGAAGGAAAAAGGAGCTCCCTGAAATCCATCGAGCTACTGATGTTACATCAGACATTGCACCCGGCACAAACCAGCAGGGAGCAAACAAGCTGATGGTATTGACCTGGGAGGGAGGTGAAACTGGCCCAGAAGCTGTAGCCTTGAGGGGAACCAGGTGAGACTCTGCAGGGAGCAGGGTGACTCAGGCACCCTGGAGCAAACAAAGCCACTGCAAGAGAGTAACTAGAACCTTTGCCATGTCCCCTGCGGTTCCAGGAACTTGGGCACGACCAGCTGCATGGGGAATGTGTCAACATGCCCTCTTCAACCCTCCCACTCTGGGGGCCTTTTCTAGAGAATGCCGCCCAGACAAGGTGACCTTTGGATGGAGCTGGTGTCACGCTGGGATACAAACCTCTGCTGGCCAGACAACAAGCTGCTACTGCAGCTGGTGTCAGTTAGCGCCTGGGGCCGGGACAGAGGGCTGTTACATTGCCGTTCCTGGCAAGATGGTGCTATATCCTACAGTAACCATCCTAAACCTCCATCCAGTGGCCTCTTCTCACTCCCTGCCCCAGGGCTGTGGCACTTCTGTTGTGATCAACCATACCAGTTCCCCTTGGAGCTGAGACTGTGCGCAGCCAACATTCAGGGGCCACGTTCTGCTACCCTTCCTCGCATTGAGTAGGACTTGACCCTGGGGGCAGCCCCAGTGAAATCAATGGGGCTACTTGTAGTGAGAGAATACTCAGCCAGAGTATGGAAAGCAAAATATGGCCCTCAACGAACAGACCACGGCCAGGGCCAGGCTCACATACAGGCCTGTTTGCGCATACAGTCGCCACAAACTTTCATGAAAATTGGGTAACTGCATGAGCAATTATCTCATTGGTTGCATGTGTGTGGGCAGTTACTCAGTTTGCACATGCAGCTTGAACTAGTTATGTACATAAATTAGGTGCACATAGTGCTTAATTTGCAATGAAATTGGTGCCGAGGCTCAAGCAATATTTTTACTTCCGTAACTGACATGGCAAACCCAGAGCTGCCAGGGCTCTGAACCGCCGAGCCCAGAGCTGCCGGGGCACTGAACCGCCGAGCCCAGAGCTGCCGGGGCTCTGAACCGCCGAGCCCAGCGCTGCCGGGGCTCTGA